GCCCTGGTGAACACCTAAGGCTCCGCCCCTCAACGTAACAGGAGCGACCAGATCAAAGAGAGAGAGAGAGAGAGAGAGAGAGATGGCTCAAACAAAAGAACAAATTAGTGCCCCAGAACTCATCCATTTGAGCGACTAAGAGATAGCTAACCTATCACATGCACAGTTCAAAATACTGGTGATCAGGAAGCTTACAGAATTGGTTGATATTGGTTGCAAATTAGATGAACAAATGCAGGTTACCATAAAAGAAATGAAGGAAAATGCACAGGGAACCAATAGTGATGGGAAGGAAACTGGGACTCAAAACAATAGAGAGGACCAGAAGGAAGAAAGAAACAACCAAACAGGAAAGAAAGAAGAAATAAGAATTCAAAAAAAAATGAGGAGGAGCTTAGGAACCTCCAGGACATCTTTAAATGTTCCAACATCCGAATTATAGGGGTGCCAGAAGGGGAAGAGGTAGAGCAACAGATTGAAAACATATTTGAACAAATAATAAAGGAGTACTTCCCCATTCTGGCAAAGGAAATAGACTTCCAGGAAGTCCAGGAAGCTCAGAGAGTCCCAAAGAAGTTGGACCCAAGAAGAAACACACCAAGGCACATCAGAATTACATTACCTAAGAGTAAAATGAAGGAGAGAATCCTAGGAGCAGCAAGAGATAAGGGACAGTCACCTACAAAGGCGTTCCCATCAGACTGTTAGCTGATTTCTCAAAAGGGACCTTACAGGCAAGAAGGGGCTGGAAAGAAGTATTCCAGGTCATGAAAGACAAGGACCTATATCCTAGATTACTCTATCCAGCAAAGCTTTCATTTAGAATGGAAGGGCAGAGAAAGTGCTTCTCAGATAAGGTCAAGTTAAAGGAGTTCATCATCACCAAGCCCTTGTTTTATGAAATGTTAAAGGGACTTATCTAAGAAAAGAAGATACAGAAAAAAACATGTATAGTAAAAGAACAGCAAACTCACAATTATTAACAACCACACCTAAAGCAAAACCAAAAGAAACTAAGCAAACAACTAGAACAGAAACAGAACCACAGAAATGGAGATCACATGGAGGGTTAACAACCAGGGAGTGGGAGGAGGAGAGAGGGGGAAAAGGTACAGAGAATAAGTAGCATAGATTGTAGGTTGAAAATAGATAGGGGGAGGGTAAGGATAGTATGGGAAATGTAGAAGCTAAAGAACTTATAAGTATGACACACAGACATGAACTAAAGGAAGGGGAAGTGGGTGGGAGAGGGTGTACAGGGTGGAGGGGAGTGAAGGGGGGAAATGGGACAACTATAATAGCATAATCAATAAAATATATTTAAAAAAGCAAAACAGGTTTATTTTTAAAGGTTTTATTTTTTATTTCTTTATTAAATACTTTTGAATTTTATTAAGTAGTTTTCTGCCTTTTCCCCCTACCCCTCCCTACCACCCCAGTACTCCCCACCTTCCCATTTATTGTTACAGAGTGGGGAAGGGACAGAGAAAGAGGGAGCAAAACCTCAGTGTGTGGTTGCTGCTCACATACCCCTATTTGGAGACCTGGCCTCCAACCCAAGCATGTGCCCTGACTGGGAATCAAATGAGCAACCCTTTGGTATACAGGCCGGCACTCAACCCACTGAGCCACACCAGCCAAGGCTGGATGAATCTTAATGACATTACATTAAGTGAATAAGTCAGTCACAAAAAGACAAATTCTGCATGATTTCACTTAGGTGAGGTAATTGTAATAGTCAAAAATCATAAAGACAGAAAGTATAATGGTGGTTGCCAGGAACTGGAAGGTGGGGAGAATGGGGAGTTAGTGCTTAATGGGTATAGAGTTTTGGTTTTACAAAACAAAAAGAGTTATGAGGTCCTGTGCAGGAAAATAGACTCAGTATCTGATGGTAAATATGTAGCCCTCTGCATAGGCCTGGAGTCAGATTTGGAGTGATAAAATTCTGGAAATATCCTTTCTTATAGGAAGGTAACAGAGTGAGAATAAAATGCTAATAAAAAGAAACTTGAAGGTGAAAAAACAAAGTTTTGAAAATGGATGTGGTGATGATTGTACAATAGAATGTATTTAATATCAGTGAAGTCTACATTTAAAAATGGTTAAGATGGTAAAAAAAATTAGGAAAAGAAAACACTTGGAACTTATGAAGAAAAGTAAAGAGGAGTTTATAATATATCAGATGTTCTCAAAATTGCCTCTGAGCAACAATTGATCAAAAAAAGGAACCAGGCACTAAAATTGGCACAAATGGATGAAATGTGTAGAAAGAATATCAGAACAGAGGAATTAGAAGCATCCTAAAGGCAATGTTAAAATATTATTCTAGTAACAACTATTAAATATATTTTTTATATTTTCATCATTAATATATGTGTAGGTATATTTATTTCAGTCATGTTCAGTTTAAGCAATGCTATGATTATAATGTTTCACTTAAAATTGTGATCCATTTAACCATGTAGTGTCTATGAATAGGACAATGGAGTTCACTGGAGGTCACAGCTATCAATGACCTATTGTAATAATGAAATCATCTCTGAATTAACAGCAAAATCACTGCTTTATACTCTACTGCCTCATATAAACAATACCAGGTTTAATGGGGGGGATAACAAAAGATGCAGATGATTTAAAGAGAATTCTTTAAATTCTCCAGAATAAAATAATATTGATAATGTTCATGAAATTCAACCTACAGTTGAATTTATTTATCTAATTTAACCAATACTAAATTTATGAGATTCTGGAGGGAACAGTTAAAGGGGAGAGAAAATAATCTTGGCTTAAAAATTTCTTAAATCATTCTCATTAAAAATAAAACCATACCACGGTTAGGAACTCTCTGTACTTTTTTGCTCACTTTTTCTGTAAATTTAAAACTGCTTTAAAACATAAATTCTAATTCAGTTAAAAACATTTTGATGAAATAGCCCTTTAAAAAATACATTTAGCTTTATAAACTCACCAAAATTTTATGGACTTTTTTTTGCGGGAGTGGGGAGAGTAAACTTTATGGCAAAGCCTTTTTGCATTGCATTTCCTGAGGAAAATATAAAACACAGGAGAATAAAATCACAGTTTAAGAGGTCTTGCAGTATAAACAAAGCAGGTCATATTCTTTTGATATTGTGTTTTTGCTGTCTTCAATATATAAAATCAATTGTAGCTTATGTTATCAATAGAATTCATGTGTAAATTAGTAATGCAAATCAAATCACAATTGAAATCTATTCATTGATCATTGTCAAGAAAGATTAAACTGAAACTTGAAATACATTTAAATATTATTGCAGTATTCAACTTCTGAGAAGATAACTATAAATACCTTATTAAATTTCTTTAACCCTGATTCCAATATTTCTTATGTATTTACAATGACTCTCTAAATGTTAAATTTCCTTTAACATTAAAAAATACATTATTTGAGGGGGCGGAGAAAAATTTTAAAAAAGAAAATACATTTCCAGTGGATTGAGTGCTGGCCTTGGAACCAAAATATACATTATTTCCTTTGTGGTGAATAAAACAAGACTCTTACAATGTGCAAAAATAATAATAATAACAGAGAAGAAAATATTTCTTTAAAAGATTTTTGTGGCTTATTGTAAAGGAGATTCATCCATCTGTCTTCTTTCTATCTATCTGCTTATCTATCATCTATCATCTATATGTCTATGTACAACAAAATGGAAATAGAGAATCAACCATGAAAGAAGGTAAAAAGTGACCATAACACCTGTGCACTTAGTGCGGTTGATCATTTGATTGCCTGGCAGTCGGGACCAAACTAAAACAGGACAAAATCAAGACAGATTTCATAGCCTTCAGAAGATAAAGAAGTGTATCTATACATCATTCTTTCAGGCTTTAAATTTTAATAGCAACCCCTGACAAGAGACCCAAAGAAGCCACTGGGCAAAAAAATGACCTCATTTTGCTTAACAACAATAAATCAGACCAAACTTTATATAGCTTTTTCTTATAATAACTTTGATAAAATCTGCAAGTATAATGTTAAAATTCAATTCAATATTGGTGATATTGCAATCAAGCATGCCTTCTTAGAATCTAATTTAATCCAAGGGAAAAAAACCTTATTTTGGATGATTGTTAAGAACTACTTCTTTCAGCTAAGGTTTTGATATGAGTTGAACAGCAGAAAATTAAAAAATAACCTCTGAGGAGGACCCAGGAATTCTGGTATTCTGTGTAGCTGGTGAAGGCAGACAGCCACAAACTTTGAAAAACAGATGGCTTCTGATTGGGAATGGGCATGGCAGAGTAGAAGACACACGTCTGAATATAAGTAGGTCATATGACTAGGTATCTGTAGGCAAAGCAAGGCATTTTCCATAAAAGTAGATTTGGATTTCCTCTAATATTTACTTGCTCTCTCAGTGTTTCAAACCAGAACACTCACAACTGATCATTTAGTCTGAAAAGAAAATTCAAGGCTAATGTATACAAACTTCAGTAATATCCCATGGAGAATAAAATTCCGACAGGGATAGCTTGAAAATATTTCACACTTATTAAGGTATAAATAAACCTTCTTCTTAAAGCTTATGAGACACTTCCATGTACATTGCTCACTTATCTTTACAACAATCTTGTGATGTAGGTATTGTTGTCCTTATTTTATAAATGACTAAACTAAGGCACAGAAAGACTCATTATATCAACTTATACTTATCCCTAGAAGGGTTTGAAGTTCCTGTTTGTGCACATATAATTATGTAAATGTGTATATTTATACATATAATGCATAAATTCATTCTCAAGTACATTTTAAAGTTTGCAATAAAAGAGACATTGTCTTTAGTTTCTTTTCTTTAATCCTCAATAATATTAAGTAATGTGTCTGAGAAACAGAAGATACCTAATTATTTATGTAAGATGACAGTTTAAAGAATGAAAAGACTCTTCTACCTCCGCCACCACAATCACTGCCTACCTCCTTCTGCCACTCCTGGTGCTGGTTTTGTGCTCCTTAGGTGCAGATCTGGTACCTCTTTTGTGAAGGGGCCCCTGAGGAGACACCTTTGATCACTGTGGCCATCGAAAAACCCAAGGAAGGAGTCAAGATTGGGGACAGGGATCATACCAATTTGAAGGTGGCGGGGCAGGATGGCTCCGTGGTCCAGTTTAAAATTAAGAGGCATACGCTACTTAGTAAATTAATGAAAGCCTATTTGAATGACAGGGTTTGTCAATGAGGCAGATCAGATTCTGATTTGACTGGCAGCCAATCAATGAAACAGGCACACCTGCAGAGTTGAAGATGGAGGATGAAGATACAATTGATGTGTTCCAGCAGCAGACAGGAGATGCCTACTAAAAAGGAAACCTGCTGCTTTACTCCATAACTCTGTTCTTCCAGACCAAGAAGATGTTCTCGGTTAGAAAATTGCACTTTGGTTCTATCACATCCTGACTACTACAGTAGTTTTCTTTATTCTTTCATTTCTCCCTCCCCCGTTCCTTTGTTGCACATAAAGTAACTAATGTATGTGCACAAGCATTTGCATTTTTTTAACTAAATGGCCAATGGTATGTTATGTTATTTCATTTAAAGATTTTACTTATTTATTTTTAGAAAAAGGGGAAGGGAGGGAGAAAGAGAGGGAGAGAAACATAGGTTGGCTGCCTCTTGCACATGCCCTAGCCGGGGAAGGGCCCATAATACAGGCATGTGCCCAAACAGAGAGTCAGCGGGCAAACTTCTGCTTTGTGGGACAATGTCCAACCCATTGAGTCACACTGGTCAGGGTGCCAATAGTATGTTTTACTCAACATCAAATGGAGATGGGATGGGGGAAAATACTGGTTCTGTGAAAATACCTCCTTTCTCCATTAGTGGCATGATTATTCAGCTCTTATCTTTATATTCCATTAAGTTATTTTGCTCTCACTGTTTAACAAAAAAAGGAATGGCATAAAAATCCTTGCATACCTTGTTTGATTGGAGAATTTTAATGTTTTTCATTTATCATTGTAAGACCAAGGACAATTTTATAACTTTTTTGTACATAGCTGTTACATGTAGGAAAATCTATCTTTAAGTAAGGATAAATAACTCTAGAAGACATGAATCCTAGCTAGTTTTCCCTTCAAGTCAAGCATCTTGCTATTTAAATAAACTCCTTGTTTTAAAAAAAAGGAATAAAAAGACTAAACATGATGATAAATTATAATATTTTTCTCTTAATATAGCTATACAACTGGTAACTTACTAACAAGCACACACATTTAAAAATTTTTCTGTTTATTTGGGTAAAAAAAGCAGCTTTGGCTAATCAGAGACAAGGTAGTCGCTTGCTCAGGCACTGAAAAAAATAGTATAAAACAGATTAAAAATCAAATTATAGAAGTAATTTTGGGAATTTTCAGCACATGGTGATAATCAAAATCTGCAGCACCAGAATTCATCTAGATATCATGGTGGAGAAGAGAAGAACTTAGGACTGAGCTCTTACGGGATCCATCTTTTGTGTTCAGATGGAAGAGAAGCTCACAAAAGATTTACAAAGAGCTTCTGGAAGAATGTCACAGACTTTGACAGAAGAGAGGAAGTTTTAAGAAAAGGAAATTTCTTGCCAACTGCTAAAAAGCTAAGGAAAAGAACAGAAAAACACCTGATTAGTTTCATGAGAGTCACTGTTGGCCTTAGCAAGAGTACTAGAATGATCAGGGGAAAGCCATTCTGGAGAAGGTCAAAGACAAGTAAAGGAGGTGAGGAAGGGAGTCAGTGATAGCAAACACTCTTCTTAAAAACATGACTAGGGAAGGCAAGAAAAAGAGGAGTGGAAGGAAGGTTTTTGTATTTGACTTTGAAGATGAAGATTATACACTGACAATGTAATTATTGAGAGGGTATTCTGGTGTGAAAAGTCAGTCTTTATTGTGTAGTTGCAATAATCGTGTAAGGACTGCTCAGATCTATGTTATTTGGTGAAATATTTATTATTATATTCTTGCAACTGGGGTGCTCCCAAAGGCACCATGGTTCAAATAGAGTGTGACAGAAACTGCTATTTCCTCCTAATATCCACTTTACCATTAGACTTTCAAGTGGGCACAGGAGTTCCCCAAATAAAGACAATTCCCCAGTCTTCCCTGTGGATGGGAGAATAAGTTCTGACCAGTGAACATAAGGAAGAGTACATACTGGAGCCGCTTCAGAGACCCCTCTTGAAGAAAGAGTTCACATGGACCCTTTGACCCCCTATGCCTCTTTCCTCCTTTCTGCTGGTTGAAATATGGACTTGATCCTTGCATCTGAAGTAACCTTCTTGGGCCATGAGGTGGCCTTGAGAATAGAGGCCACAGATGACACAGCAAAAGACTAAAAGAATCCAAAGTCCATGTTGATGTCATAAAATAGAGTTCCATGGAAGCCTTAGTCCATCAATATCTGGATGTTGGTGCAAAAGAAAAATAAGCATTTAGTTTAAGCCTCTGATGTTTTAGGGGCTATTAATACTCTTAGACAAACCAAAATCTACCGAACATATAAAAGACAGCAAGAAAACCCAGTGGGTAATAGAAATGATAAGCCATCATTGAAATGAAAACAAATTAAAAGTCAGTGAAGAAAATTCCATTTAGAAAAAATGATAACCTTAAGACCAGGGATCCTGTCCAGCAGTATTTGATGTTAGGAAGGAAATGGTCAGGGAAATAAATGACCATAATAGGGAGAAAATGCCACATGAGGAAATGTGGTCCCATATTATCCAGCCTCCTTGTTTATCACTGGTCAAACACAGCAGATGCCCTTGCAAAGTCTTCCTTCAAGAGGAAAAATGAGGCACCTTCTGTTCAGTGCATACTTTTATATTTTCTTTTAACCTGTTTAAAACATCTTTAACCTGCTTAACTCAATATATACATATAACAGAGTCCATATGATTGTATTTTTTTTAATAATTAAGAAAATGGTAAAGTATGTGAAAAGACAAAGCCAGCCCCATTTGCTATTGTGCCACCATTTGCCAAGCAGACCTGTGACCTTGTTAAATATGACTGTCATTTTATTTTTTGGAGCTTGTCCCCAGGACTAGAAATTACTAGAAGCAAGAACAGAACTAACAGCTTGCTACAGCCACAGGCAGAAGATAACATTGGATAAACTGCAGTCTCTGTTACAATTCCCCAATAGCCCAGGGCCACACAACAGCAACCCCCCCCCCCCACCTGCCACCCTTTTTTAATCCAAAGCCCCACCCCTCAAGGCTGGTGTATCTCTTCATACTATACCCCTCTCCTTTCTTGGAGAGTGCATAAAAACTTTATTCTCTACATTTTCTTCTCTTTGAGAATTCTTTCATAGCCGGCATCACCGACCACCTTAACAGTATACAGAAATGTTTCTTCTGGTAACAATTTCTATTTCTTGATTTGAAGGAGCAACTCAATGAAATTTAATAAAGAGAAAATATACTTTTGAGCTGACTACCAAATATATTACAAAAAAAGCTAATAAAAAGTCATCATCTTGAGCTTCTGGCCAAGATGGAGGCATTGGTAGATATGCTTCACGTCCCCACAAAACCTAAAGAAGGACAACAACCAATTTAAAAACAGAAACAACCACAACTGCCAGAAAATCAAACTATATGAAAGTTTGACAACCAAGGAGTTAAAGAAGAAATATTCATCCAGACTGGTAGGAGGGGCAGAGACAGGCAGCCAGGGTGGAGAGGACATGCGGCAAGGTGGTGGCTGGTGGACCAGGTCATGGAGGCAGCAGCTGGCAGACAAGATGGTCCCCCTTTGCATGCAGATAAACTGGGGGGAACAACTGGGGAGCGAGACAGATTGGAAGACCCAGGGTTCCGGTGCGGGAAAAGAAAGCTTCAAAACCTCTGGCTATAAAAACCTGTGGGGATTGTAGTGGTGGGAGAAACTCCCAGTCTCACAGGAGAGTCCATTGGAGGGACCCATGGGGTCCTAGAATGTGCACAAGCCCACCCATCCAGGAACCAGCACCAGAAGGGTGCTATTCACTTGTGAGTAGCAGGGGAAGTGACTGAAAGCAGAGCAAGAGCCAGGCAAGTGGCATTGTTCCCTCTCATACCCCTCCCCCAAATACAGCATCACAACAGAGTGAAGTGGGTTGCCTCCCCCCACCCCCATTGGTGAACACCTAAGGCTCTGCTCCTTACTATGTAACAGGTGCGCTGCAACAAAGAAATATGGCCCAAATGAAAGAACAGATAAAAACTCCTGAAAAAGAACTAAGTGATGAAGAGATAGCCAACCTATCAGATGCAGAGTTCAAAACACTGGTAATCAGGATGCTCACAGAAATAGTTGAGTTGGCCACAAAATAAAGAAGTGAAGCCTACACAAAGTGAGATAAAGAAAAGTATACAGGGAACCAACAGAAGGGAAGGAAACCAGGACTCAGATCAATGATTTGGAACAAAAGGAAGACATAAATATGAAGCTGGAACCGAATGAAGACACTAGAACTCAGAAAAATGAGGGGAGGCTTTGGAACCTCTGGGACAACTTTAAACATACCAACATCTGAATCATAGGGGTGCCAGAAGGAGAAGAGGAAGAACAAGAAATTGAAAACTTATTTGAAAAAATAATGAAGGAGAACTTCCCCAATCTGGGAAAGGAAATAGACTTCCAGGAAGTCCAGGAAGCTTAGAGAGTCCCAAAGAAGCTGGATCCAAGGAGGAACACACCAAGGCACATCAGAATTACATTATCCAAGATTAAAATGAAGGAGAGAATCTTAAAAGCAGCAAGAGAAACGGAGACAGTTACCTACAAAAGAGTTCCCATAAGATTCTCCCCTGATTTCTCAAAATAAATCTTGCAGGCAAGAAAGGGCTGGAAAGAAGTATTCAAAGTCATGAAAGACAAGGACCTACATCCAAGATTACCCTATTGAGCAGAGCTATCATTTAGAATGGAAGGGCAGAGAAAGTGCTTCCCAGATAAGGTCAAGTTAAAGTTGAGTTTTCATCATCACCAAGCCCTTATATGAAATGTTAAAGGGACTTATCTAAAGAAAAGGAGATCAAAACTATGAATAGTAAAATGATAACAAACTCACAACTATCAACCACTGAACCTAAAAAAAAATAAAACAAGAACAAAAAGAAACTAATCAATCAACTAGACCAGGAACAGAATCACAGAAATGGAGATCACACGGAGAGGTATCAATGGGGACGGGGTTGGGGGAGAATAGGAGAAAAGGTACAGGGAATAAGAAGCATAATTGGTAGGTACAAAATAGGCAAGGGGAGGTTAAGAATAGTATAGGAAATGGAGAAGCCAAAGAATTTATATATATGACCCATGGACATGAACTAA